CTCCTCCTCCTCCTCCTCCTCCTCCTCCTCCAAGAAGGCAAGACCGCCTGCCCGCCGCCCGCGTCTGGCGCCACCGCCTCTCCAGAGGCAAGCGCCACCGCCTCCCCCGCGGCCGCCGCCGCCGCGGCCGCGGCCCGCAGCAGCCGCACGCCGCGCCCGGGCGCCCGCGGCTGCGGCGGTGCAGCCTCGGGCTGGCGGGTCGAGGTCGAGGATCGAGGATCGGGTCGAGGATCAAGGATCGAGGATCGAGGATCGAGGATCGGGGGGGTCGAGGATCAAGGGTCGAGGATCAGGGGGATCGCGGGTCGAGGATCAAGGATCGGGGATCGGGTCGAGGATCAAGGATCGAGCATGGGGGCACTGGGGAACTCCACCGCAGGCCTCAGCGTCTGCGCTCGCATGACACCACCGCACCCATTTTGGCACACCACTTACACGTTTCGCGGCCCCACTGAGAGCACCACCGAAAGCCCCAGTGGCTGCGATCGCATGGCACCACCGCGCCCATCTCAGCGCACCCCTCACACGGTTCGCGGCCCCATAGGTGAGGGGCAACGATAAGGGGGGGATAGGCATAGGGGGATGCATCAACCTGGAATCGGCGATGCATCGTCGATAGATCGGCGATAGGCCTCCGATAGTGAATCCGCACCTTCATGGGCAGGTTGGGGCTATCGGGCCCCTATCGGCGATCAGTGGGCGATTGGGCATTGATGCATCCCTCCCTATGCCTACCCCCCCTATCGCTGCCCCTGAATAGGGAGCTCCACCGAAGGCCCGAGTGGCTGCGCTCGCATGACACCACCGCGCCCATGTTGGCACACCCCTTACACGTCTCCTGCCCCATCAGGAGCTCCGCCGAAGACGATACCAAAAAATTGAGTTACTCACAACTGCAGACGGTTGGGCTAGATTCGCCCGAAAATTGTCTCCAGCCAGGACCACCGCGGAGGACCTTGATCATCTGGCGAACACACACACACACACACACACACACATGCACGACACATCGAAACATGCACGTGGAATGGATGTCCGAGCGATGGCAAAGTTCGCGATGTCATCCGGCCCAGGCGACCCCGCAGCCTCCCGACTCCGTCAAGCCATACAAACTGTTTGTCGCAACCGAAGGCGAGGGCGCCAGCGGCGAGTCAGGTCCGAGCGGGCCGCGCAAGAGCCGAAGTGCCTAACGCCGATAAGCCATACTAATTTCGAAGTCCAGCGAGCGGCCAAAGGGTTCCTCTCTGGTCGCCACTCGCCGCCCCCTTCGCGGGCCAGTTCGGGGGTCTGCTCGTGGGCCTGCCCGCGGGGGCCCGTCCGTGGCTTCTGAGAGGCCTCGCCAACGTCTGAGAAGGTCTGCCTCCCTCCCGGGTCAGAAGCAGTGTGTGGGTCCCTTGCGCGCAGGCCCCTCAGGGTATTCACCTCGAGGCCCGATCCTCGATCCCCCATCCCAGCCGCCGGCCTCGATCCTCGATCCTCGATCCTCGGTCCTCTGTCCTCGGTCCTCCATCCTCGATCCCCGATCCCCGATCCCCGATCCTCGATCCCCGATCCTCGATCCGAGATCCTCGATCCTCGAGACCCCATCCTCGAGCCTTCGATCCTTCGATCCTTCGATCCGCGATGTTCGATCCTCAATCCCCCATCCTCAGTCCTCGATTATTCGATCCTTCGATCCGCGATTCTCGATCCTCGATCCTCGAAACGTGTGAGGGGTGTGCCGAAATGGGTGCGGTGGTGTCATGCGAGCGCAGCCACTGGGCCTTCGCTGGAGCTCCTTGCGGGGCCACGAAACGTGTGAGGCGTGTGCCGAGATGGGCGCGGTGGTGTCATACGAGCGCAGCCACTGGGGCCTTCGGTGGAGCTCTCCCCATAGGGCCACGATACGTGTGAGGGGTGTGCCGAGATGGGCGCGGTGGTGTCATGCGAGCGCAGCCACTGGGGCCTTCGGTGAGGCTCCCATGGAGCCACGATACGTGTGAGGGGTGCGCCAACATGGGCGCGGTGGTGTCATGCGAGCGCAGCCACTGGGGCCTTCGGTGGAGCTGCCCATGGGGCCACGAAACGTGAGGGGTGTGCGGTAGTGCCATGCGAGCGCAGCCACTGGGCCTTTCGGTGGAGCTCCCCATGGGGCCACGATACGTGTGAGGGGTGTGCCGAAATGGGTTCGGTGGTGTCATGCGGGCGCAGCCCCTGGGGCCTTCGTTGAAGCTCCTTGCGGGGCCACGAGACGTGTGAGGGATCTGCCAACATGGGCGCGGTGGTGCCATGCGAGCGCAGCCACTGGGGCTTTCGGTGGAGCTCCTCATGGGGCCACGAAATTCGTGAGGGGTGTGCCGAGATGAGCGCGGTGGTATCATGCGATCGCAGCCACTGGGGCCCGGGGCCTTCGGTGGAGCTCCCCAGTGGGGACACGAAACGTGTGAGGGGTGTGCCGACATGGGTGCGGTGGTGTCATGCGAGCGCAGCCACTGGGCCTTCGGTAGAGCTCCTTGCGGGGCCACAACACGTGTGAGGGGTGTGCCGAGATGGGCGCCGTGGTGTCATGCGAGCGCAGCCACTGGGGCCTTCGGTGGAGATCCCTATGGAGCCACGATCCGTGTGAGGGGTGTGCGGTGGTGTCATGCGAGCGCAGCCACTGGGGCTTTCGGTGGAGCTCCCCATGGGGCCACGATACGTGTGAGGGGTGTGCCGAGATGGGCGCGGTGGTGTCATACGAGCGCAGCCACTGGGGCCTTCGGTGGAGCTCCCCATGGGGCCACGAAACGCGTGTGCCGAGATGGGCGCGGTGGTGTCATGCGAGTGCAACCACTGGAGCCTTCGGTGGAGCTCTCTATGGGGCCACGAAACGTGTGAGGGGCGTGCTGAAATGGGTGCAGTGGTGCCATGCGAGCGCAGCCACTGGGGCCTCCGGTGGAGCTCACTATGCGGCCACGATACGTGTGAGGGGTGTGCCGAAATGGGCGCGGTGGTGCCATGCGATCACAGCCAATGGGGCCTTCGGTGAAGCTCTCTATGGGGCTACGAGAAGGTGCCGAAATGGCTGGCGATGATGGTGACGATGATGACGATGATGACGATGATGGCGGCGATGATGACGACGATTATGATGATGACGATGATGGTGATGATGACGATGATGATGGTCATGACGATGATGCTGATGCTGCCGATGATGATCCGAGGATGGAGGAAGGGGGAGGAGGAAGGAGGAGGAGGAGGAGGAGGGAGACGCGGGCCCGCTTTCTCTTCAAAACGAGGACCCAACACCACAGGATGGTGGGGAAAAAACAATAACAACAACAAAAAAACAATAGCAAAAACGTCCGAGCGATCGCGGATCCCCCGCGGACAGGCCCGAGCAAACTAACGAACGAACGAGGCTGCCGTCGCTGGGAAGGGCCGGCGTCCCTGCAGTGAAGGCAGGCGCGCCCGAAGCGCGCTGGCCATCCGAGAGGACCAAGAGGACGGGGCACAGGCTGTAGTATACGCATGCCTCCTCCTTCTCCTCCTCCTCCTCCTCCTCCTCCTCCTCCTGCTCCTCCTCCTCCTCCTCCTCCTCCTCCTCCTCCTCCTCCTCCTCCTCCTCCTCCTCCTCCTCCTCCTCCTCCTCCTCCTCCTCCTCCTCCTATGATTCAGTGCACGTGCGGAGTTATTAGAGACGGGGGAGGCAAGAGAGATGCAGGCGGGTCAGGTGTGACACTCCTCACCGTCACGAGAACTGCTCGCACGGAGAGGCCTGAGATGATTCGAATCGCGAAACCGGATCGGATCGGAAACGGATCGGATCGTCAACGAATTGTCCCGAAGCGAATCGAAAGCGGATCACCGCTCCCACCTCCAGCCAGCCCTGGCCGATGCTGGTGAACCGAACCGAATCGAATCGGAATTGCGACCACAACTGTCAAATCGAATCGCATCGAATCGCATCGAAGGCGGCCTTGCGGACCCCCCTCGGAATCGCTCCCATTGTGAAAAAGTCACGACGGGAGGTTTTCTCAAGTTCCGGCCTCCGTGGGCGCTCACTGGGCCCGAGGATCGTCGAAAAGCGACTCGGGAAGGAAACCTGGTGGTCTGGACC